TTGATGAATTTTAGTGGTTACACTGGAAAAGTTGATCGAGAATACAATCAGACCTCTCTAAATGCAACCTCCCTAAATGCATGTACTATGTTTACGAGTATTAAGTATTTTACCCTTCGTAAATGCTAAATACATATTATAACGGATTTTTTATGTCTCCTGACGACTTGCATTTAGGGAGGTCTGACTGTACATGGAATGTTCCAATTCTGCATATGCAGTAAACTGCCTCAATCCAATATACGGCTAGCATATACGAAAAAAATTTTTCGGTAATAAACCTAGTGTTAAAGATTAGGATTAGGATCAGTTAGAACTAGAAATAGGATTATGTGTAAAATTGCTGGCGTTTTAATTACATAGTACGCCAAGATAGATTTAAGTCGTATTTTCTCATTTTGGGGGGTATTGATGTCCAGTTTACTGTATATGCAGAATTTGCAGAAATCTACATGTACTTGCAATTTGCAGAATCCGTTTTATAATGTGATTTATAATCATTTTGACCAGCATTATTATCACCTGCGTTGCAAAAAAAAAAAAGGGGGGTGTTTAATCACCTTATGGCAATAATGCACTCGGATATATGTCTCATGTGAAATTCACGCGCACCGACGATCTGGGTATTTGGTAATTCCAATTGAACTGTAACCTCGGAATTTAATCTTTGTTAAGGCTGAATATCCTAATCGAACCAGGATTGAGGCAGTTTTTTTTTATTTTTTTGACTTAAAGTCTGAAGCTCCGTTTATCACAAACAAGCATTGCATGGTATTATGGATAAGCTAAGATTTAAGATTTAACGCTCGTTTCAAGGAATGATTAACATGGAGTATGACTAAATTCTCACGCAAAAGCTACCCTTCTTTATTGTATTACCTTTCATTATTATACTTTCTTTAAACAGCATATATTACATGAACATCGTGTCGGCGATTTTTCGACAGCAGATTTGGTCGCAGAGAATAGTATGTAGTTTATTTATGTTTTGGAATTCATTGTTTTCATATAAAAATAAAAGTCAATACGATAAGTTTTGCATATTAGGCTCGTAATCACTCTTTATTAAATATATTAATGATAACATCTTTACCCTGCCTAGACATCTGGATCGTGAATTCTACCGTGATGTTTAAATTTAAGTTAAGACCTTGCGTACAACCAATAAATATTTTCTACGTATTAGCGGACAAATGTGATTGCAATTACTACAAAACCTAATAATACGACAATGATTCAATGCACTTTCTCAAGAAAGAGAAAAACTAAAATGACAAGTCAAAGTTCAGAATTGAGAAAAATAATAGGAAAGTAATATCAGAAAAAGAACTGAATTACATTGAACCTTTACAAGATTCAATTGTTTAAGATAATACGGCCGAAATCATCATCGGTACAGAAATCATGCTGCGTGGTAATGTAAGGAACAAATCTACTGGAATAGATGTCCTTATCGTGTGTGAAGGTTATCTGATCCTCATCCTCGTCGCTAGATGTATTTATTTTATCGGCACTTAAAAACTGTTGATAAGTATCAGCATCATTATACCACGCAAGACAGGTTTCATAAATCTCCGCTGCAGTGGGTCTCTTTTCTGGTTTGTCATCCAAGCATCGCCGCATTAAATCAAGATAACATTTTGGCGTTCTCGCGCTAGCTTTGGGTCGAAGACCATTGCAAATTTGCAGTATGAGTTGAAAGTCATGGGATACGTTATAGAATGCTGGTTTACCAGAGGAAATCTCACACATAATGATTCCAAAGCTATACACGTCTGAAGGTTTTCGATATGATTTTCCACGTAAGACCTCAGGAGCAACATATGGAATAACTCCATATACACCATCTTTTGGGATATAATCTTCATCTAAACGTGATAAACCAAAATCGGACACGCGAGGATTGCTCGTTAGCTTTAGCACATTTCCACTGTGAAAATCACAGTGGATAAGTCCTGCTTCGTGGATTATTTTCAAGTCTTTTGCAATTTTTGTCGCCATGCTTAGTCCATCCACCCATTTCAGGTTTTTATGATTTTCTATCAAAAACTGTCGAAGATTACCATGTGGCGCATAGTCCAAAACGATTATGAATTGCCCCGTTTCCGGATTTTTGCTAATTCCGTAACATTGGAGGAATCCGTTCTCTTGTAACATCATACATTTATGGTGAGTCTTTACCTGAGAACAGATTCTCGTTAAAATAATGAGGCTAATCGATGATGATGAAATAAATGATTGATAGTAATATTATAACTGACCTCATTGAGGAAGTCTGCAGCAATGTTATCCCTGTCATGATAACATTTCAGAGCAATGTCATAATCCGGAAAGTGCTCTCTCACATATTTTTTCTCTTTCGCGTCCCATGTAAAATGGCCCTTCAGACAATTAGTCCTCGTCGCAAAATAAGCGGTCGCAAATCCGCCCCTACCAATTAGTTTGATATTTTTAAAATTTTCATACGGAATCCATTCCAGATAATCATAGGAACGTCGTGCGTCGATAATAGTTTGTTTAATAAAGTCATCCAAGTTTTTATCACCGCTCGTCCACCCTGGATTTTCTTTAAGGAGTAATTTCGAATGGCATGGAGGGCACCAATTGCTAGATGTCTTTGGCCCACCGCAGGCGGGACAGAGACCGTATTTTGGACCATCCTTTTGCTGATCAATGGGTTTTACAGAGGAAATTTTAATAGTGTTGGCTATATTTGGTTCTAAGTTTTTACTCATCTATATTGAAATCAAAAAGTATTAATGGGAATATTGCTCACGACATCTATTACTAAAGCTGCACGAAGAGCCAACATTCGATCCTACATACCTTTCTATGTTCACAATTTCGAAAAAGCTTCCGCGAGCATGTTTTTTTTATATTTAGCATTTTTTTCAGCATATATGCTATCGTCAAATTTCCATTGTGCCTATATTACGTTAAACAACGTTTCAGCATAAATTCTATTGTCCAAAAAAGGAAAGGAAATCCTTTGTGCTGATTATGGACAACGTACTTCCTCCTTTGTTTTTTGATATCTCCTTTGTCCTTTAATATTGCCTTTAAAATTGCCTTTGTCCTTTGATTATTTATGGCACACAACACTTCTATAATGGGCAGCGCCCCTTTTTCCGAAATTAATATTATCAGGTTAAACAATATGACAATGCAAAGTAGGGTAGTACATGATTCTTTAATCGATAAACAATATCAATATTCGCACATGGAAAATTTTTCTCACAGGTGTGTTGCATGATCTTCTACGACAGAACCATATCGGGGAAATGGATGCATGTATATAAACTTTCGTTAACATTCATGTCAATCCCTCGATAAAAAATGGGGTTTGAGAGTCCACACAAACGTGTTATAGTTCTTGCTTTAGATGGTGAGCCTAAGAAAAATAATAATAAGAATAATCTTTAATTAATGCGCATACATAACTAAATGATAAATCTCAATCCGCACACAGGTGTCGGAAGATTTTTTACAGAGGTACCAACACCTACCATCGACGCATTTTTTGCCTCTGGTGCTAGCTCGTTGACAGCAAAGGCTGTTGTGCCGACAGACAGTGCCCAAAACTGGGGTTCGGTACTACATGGAGTTCTTCCAGAAAAGCATGGACTGAAAAATGGTGACGTAGAAGCAGGCATTCCATATGATGAAAATAATCCTTATCCAAGCGTTTATAAAATGTTTGCTGACAGAAATTTTAAGATGGCATCATTCGTAGCATGGGAATCAATCAATACTGGTATAATCGAACTTTCAGTGAAGGCAGATAAATACGCCCCTCTAACTCACGAAAATTGTTTCTTGAGATGGTGGCTTCGTTTTAAACATCATTATCTTAAAGATTCTGTATATGATTACACCGTGGTTTCACGGTTGGTGGATTACATTCGAAATCCAGAAAACAAAGATTTGAAACTGTTGTTTGTTCATTTAACCGATGTGGACGAGCATGGCCATGGACATGGTTACGGTTCTCAACCTTATCTAAACCAAATAAAGATTTTGGATTCACAAGTCGCAACGATTCTTAAAGCTATCGATGAAGCTGGTTGGAGGGACGACTCTTTGGTGATCATGACAACTGACCACGGTGGTATTGGAAAAGGGCACGGTGGAAGTAGTGATCAAGAAGTCAACGTATTTTTAGCTGTTCGTGGCGCAGGAATTGAACCGAACTCAAAAATCGAAAGTGAAGTGATGAACATGGATTGTGCGGCTCTGATTCTTAAGGCATTGGGAAAAGAGATTCCTGTATGGTTTGACGCAAAATTACCCGCAGAGTTTTCTTCGTTATAAATATTGATAAGCATATATTTCTTTCTAATATTCATCCCTTGAATTGTAATGTATACCAATTTTTAATAATAGAGAGATAAATTTGGGCAAGCATTAATGTACAAATTGTTCTTTTTTTTGTTCGGTGTAGTATGGTATTATGTATCAACTCATGCATGTAAATTGTCAGATCAATTTATTGGTTGAAATATTTATGATCTCTCGTGACCCAACAGGTTATTCATTAAACGTATTTTAATTGGTTTAGACTAGTAGTTACACTACATGTAACTCTTTGCACGAGCAAAGCCTTGCCAAACTAAGCCGAAGTTGCGGCTTGGCTCAAAGCTTGAACTTGATTCCAGTTAACTATAATTGGCACGACTTTCAGTACATTTCTAAGCAAAACAAGAGTGGCAGTAAATTATGATTCCAAATTTATCATGATGGGCTGAAGATTCATATGATCTTCAATTACAGATGCAGATGATCATTATAAGCTAGATAAGGAAAAGATGTGGCGGGATAAATATACTAAAACTTTATGTAAACAATAATTTCTAGTTAATATGACTACACTAGACAATCACGTGACAAAATATCTATTTATAATATTTAATTTTTTTAAAATAATAAAAATTAAAATAAAAATAAAACTAAAATTCTTAATTTTAATATATATTTTTTGAAACTTATTTTAAATTAATTAATTTTATATAAAGTAAAAATATTATTATAATAAAATTAAAATTATAATTAGAAAAACTTTTTATAATAATATAAATATTAATATATTTATTATAATATTAAAGTATATAATCAAATTTTTTATAATTATTACTTTTGAAAAATAAAATTAAGTGATTATAAAAAAGATATAATTATTAATTATAGTTATTTAATAAATAAATTCAAATTTAATAATAAAAAATAATTATTTTATATTATATTAAAATATTAATTTTAAAAAAAATATGTAAGATTATTTTGTTAATGGTTGTAAACAAGATAAAATGCAATATGAATAAGTTTTAATTTTATAACTTATTATTGTTTTTATCATTTAAAAGTATTCAGATCTGAAGTTATTTTACAGAACAGACAGGTCATATTTATAATAAAGAAATGAATACAAAATATTAATAAATTAATAATAAATCTATAAATAAAATATATATAGGTTAAACAAAATTAATTAACTTAAT